GGTCGTACGGGATCTCAATGAGGAAGACACGAGGCCGAGGCAGGGGTGACATGGGCCGGCCATGGCGTCACCAACGAAGAAGGACTAGCACCGGGTTGCCATGTTCGGGTCGCCGGCGACAGATTTGTTGTGGGAAGGTTTAGAGGGATGGTCAGAGTTGGTAACAACATGACATAGGCATTTGCTCTCGGACAGGTCGAGGCGGCTCGCGGCGACTATTTTTCACATTAAGCGAGAGTCCTACGGGGTCTCTCGCCTCGAGTCGGCGGCTATTTTTCGCATTAAGCGAGTCGTACGGGATCCAAGCAGAACACAACGTTGGAAGGCCAATTGCTTGCTACATCCGGAAGCATGCCAATGTAACACCAGTCGCCGCTATTAATTTTCTGTTGGAAAGTTGGACCGCCGTACTGTAAAACCAATTACATAAGCGATGCCAAGACAACAAGTCATACGGACAACGTAGCAAAGTCGACCACATGAACACAACAAGGATGTCCGTCATTGCTATAAGTCAGACGTATGTCGTAGCGAGGTCAATCAGTGTGCTACAAATTGGATATGCGAAGGTATAAAGCTAACTAAGTGTAGATGTTAGGATTATAAGGAGAATTAATTGATCCTTAGCACATGTGTTAAGGGTTGTTGCATGATTAATGTATGACTGATATGCACTTTTTTAGAGCTTGATGTGTGTCTCCCTGTTGTGTGATATCTTCTGGATGCTATCATGCCACACTGGTGAACACGCTAATATTCACTGCCGTTGCAACGCACGGGCATATGTGCTAGTAAAAATAAAAATATCTAGTTACATGCGGAATAGCAAAACTGAACATTATTTGGCAAACACTATTCTTCTCCGGAAACACCTAACTCCACGCTGTGTGCGACCTTTTCAACTCTACTTTAATTCCTTTTGATGCGCTAACGGGCCGGCCCAGTAGACTCGAGGCGAGAGATCCCGTACGACTCGCTTATGTGAAAAATAGCCGCCGACTCGATTGCAGTAACTGTGTGCCGTTTACAGTAACAATGCTCGATTGAAAGTTGCATGTAGATTAACCAGGTATTTTTTTCAAGAAAGTAAAACTTGACAGCGGCAAAAACACTGATAAATAAAAACATTTCCTTGCACATTGAAAAGGTTAACATACCGCCCAAAAATCAGAGCAGATGGCATGTCTTTGCTTCTTTTTTCATTTTTGATTAGTTTGCGAGCGAGGCCGGATTATTCCCATGGAAAGAAGGCAGCAACATCTCTCGTGTTGCACACATGTCAGGGATTGTTTTGTTAGTGCACATTAAGATTGAGCCATCACTCACCAGCTATATATGCCACTCCAACCAAGTATCTTATATCTTTTGTTAGTTAGATTCACCATGCCATACACTCCATCCGACATGCAAGCACATCCCGAGCCTACAATCCAGCCATACTTCCACATTTCCGTTTAGAGCCAATATTTAATTTTTTCGTCATGCTCTATTCCAACAATTTCATTTAATAAGAGCCAACCTTAATTCCTTCACTCCCACACCATACCCTTCGTTTGGGCTTGATGATCTCGACAACTATCCGGCGTTTATAAACTAATGGATTTTTGTGGATCAAAGCGAGGTGGGATAAATATTCAAGTGAACCCCCTCTATCTAAAAAATGATCACACTTCCAAAATTTTCAAAAAATGGTCGTGTTTTCGTATTTATAAATAAATAAAATTTGGATTTCCAAAAAATGTTCGTGTTTTGCAAGTTTGTTCGGAATGGTTTTGTTCTATTTTTTCGCAACTTTTAACAACTGTTCAGAGTTTCAGAAAAGGCACCGTTTTCAGAGATTGTTGACAAATCTTTAAAATGTTCATGTTTTCATTTCCAGGAGTTTCGAATAATGTTCCCATTTCCAAAATTGTTTGAAAATGTTTTAAAGACATGTTTTCAAATTTTGTTTGTGTTTTTCAAAAATTGTTTGGAATGTTTTTGTTCAAAATTTTCACAACATTGCAGAATTTCTATTGGAATTTCAAAAAAAGTCCGCGTATCCACAAATTGTTCATTTTTTTAGAAAAAATATTCATGCTTCAATTTCTTTTCCGGAATTTCATTTTTTATGTGTTCCCAATTTTGTTCCGGGTTTCAAACAATGTTTGTGTTTCCACATTTTGTTTTGGAATTTAAAAACTGTTCCTGTTTGAAAAAGTTGTTCATGATTTTCCGAAAATATTCGTGTTTTTAAAAATATTTCATTTTATTAAGATATGTTTACAAATTTGTAAGTGTTTGCGCTTCACAAAACATTCTCTTATTTTTTTTTCGACAACAATTGCGATCAAAAATTTAAAAATATTAGTATCTGCGCTGGAAACTGGTTCTTAAGATTCTGCACTGTATTATAACCAGCAAAGCTTGGTAGGTCAACTGGTTGGTGTGTGATGTTTCTAATATGAGATCCTAGGTTTG